AAACATCCAGACCTTTAAATGACTCCTTTCCTAGAAGCTTCTGAGATCATTTTGCATCATAAAATGATCAAATAAAATCAAATATTCCATTTTTAAGTCTTTCATAGAAGGTGAGTACAGACACCAGAAAAAGTACCTTCTATTTAAGGATAAATTTATATTTGGTCATTTTGGACCATAATCATGAGACTTCCTCCTCTGAAACACAACAAAAATATTCAAATGGGTGATAATGGTATTATACTTAGAGATCCATAGTGAAATGTTTGAGGATGAAATGATGTGATGTCTAGGACTGCTTTAAAATAAGGGGGGGTGCATAGTGAATGGAGGAAGAAATAAAATGAACTATATTGAAGGCAGGGTGGTGGGTAAATGGGAGTTCACTTGCTACTTTTTTTGGTATTTGTTTGAAATTTACCATAACAAAAAGTTTTAAAAGTATATCTACATGACAGTTGCCTCTTGGCTACTTCCAGAGTTCAAAAATACACATTTATCCACACTGATGCACATATTTTATTAGAATTTATTGATGAGTGATAATCGGCAGATTAGTGCCTCCATTGACAGACTCGTGGCTCATAGGACAGAATGACAGCTCCTAGGACAGAATGATTAAGACTAACTTATTAATCACATGTATAGCTACCATGATATAATCTTAACATTTATATTTTACAAATTTACACATCTAAAAAGTCTTCTCTGATCATTTGTCCCAATTACATAAGAAGGATATAAGACAATCATAAAATTTAGAGAAAAAGTCCTAAGCATTTGGTGCCTACCATTTTTTAGTATATGTGTATATTCATATATTTATAATATATTCTCTATTTTTTTTTAAGATTTTATTTATTTATTTAAGAGAGAGAGAGCACATGAGAGGGGGGAGGGTCAGAGGGAGAAGCAGACTCCCCGCTGAGCAGGGAGCCCGATGCGGGACTCGATCCCGGGACTCCAGGATCATGACCTGAGCCGAAGGCAGTCGCTTAACCAACTGAGCCACCCAGGCGCCCTATTCTCTTCTATTTTTAAGTGTAGATTTCAAATATGAACACATCTTCATAATGGAGTCTATGTAGTTATTAAAAATTATTCTAGATCTATACTTATAGACACATAGATACAGAAATATGTTCACCATATATTTTAAATGAAGAAGTACTTACAAAACCATTTCAGGAATTGATTTCATATTATTGTATTTGTATATCCTTAGAAAAATCTGGAAAGATACACATAAAAAATTATACAGTGGTTACTTCTGCTTTGTAGTATGCTTTTTATTGTTTTTCCCTTGTTCTTTATATTCTATATTTTTGTGCAATTTTTTGTTCAAGAAGCATTAAACATTTATAATTCTTTAAAAAATAATTTTAAGAGAGGGAATAAGAAAATTATCAGTATATGAGAATTTCATACATGAAAAAGTAATGTTTTATATCAGTGAACAAAAGAGAAATTGTTAAATTATGGGATATAAAAACCAACCATTTGAAAAACTCAAATGGATCAATATTTTAAACATGTAAGGGAATTATAAAGATACTAAAAAAGGGAAATAATTGTAAATATTTATTTAATTGGGAAAGAGGGAATTACTTCTGAAGTATAATATCGAAGACAGAAACAATCATAAAAGGAAAAAACCTTACAAGATTTTCAATATATAAAACTTTAAAACAGCTATATGACAAAATAAATCATTAACAAAAGAGACATTTTGAAAATATAGAACAAGAGGTCTAACAAATCTGTATTTTAAAAGATGAATAGCCAACAGAAAAATAAAAAACATGAGTAAATAACCTCAAATCACCAATAAACATGAAATAAACACATAAAAGATGTTCAACCTCACTATAAATTGTGTTTAGTTTTGCTTTTTAAAATAATGTCCAGGGGAGCCTGGGTGGCTCAGTCGTTGGGCGTCTGCCTTCGGTTCAGGTCATGATCCCAGGGTCCTGGGATCGAGCCCTGCATCGGGCTCCCTGCTGAGGCGGGAAGCCCGCTTCTCCCTCTCCCACTCCCCCTGCTTGTGCTCCTGCTCTATCTCTCTCTGTCAAATAAATAAATAAAATCTTAAAAAAAAAAAATAATAATAATGTCCAAATGGGGCAGCTGGGTGGCTCAGTCAGTTGAGTGTCCCACTCTAGATTTTGGCTCAGGTCATGATCTCAGGGTTTTGGGATTGAGCACCCCCGCCCCCAACCAAGGCTCCCTACTCAGCGGGGAGTCTGCTTGAGATTCTCTCTCTCCCTCTCCCTCTGCCCCTCCCTCCACTCACATGCGCCTGCACTCTCTCTCTAAAATAAATAAATAAATCTTTTTAAAAACTAAATAAATAGAATAACGTCCAAATCTAGCACCTAAAATGAGCACTCTGATAAAATGATGATGGGAATGTAAAACTGTTACAGTTTTTATTGAGAAAAACTCGTAAGTACATATTAAAAGGCTAAAAAAGTGCATACCCTTTTAATCAGCAATTGCACTTCTAAGAAATGTCTAAGAAAATAAGGATATACGCTAAATAAAATTTAGTCAAGAGGATCTTTATCAAAGAATAGAAAAAATCAAGTCAGATAACTATCCAACAGTAAGTGATTGATCATATGATAGCAAATATATACAATGAAATCAAAAAGAGCCCTTAAACATGGTTTGTAGAAATATGTTTATCATATGTAAAACCATCAAAAATATTCTACATAAAAATTTTGTTACACTGTATATTTAATCTCTACACCCAACATGGGGATCGAACTCAACGACCCTGAGATCAAGAGTCCCGGGCTCCACCGACTGAACCAGTCAGGCGCCCCTTGTTACACTGTATATTTAAATAATTATCAAAAATGTGTATAGACAGAAAAGTTCTGAATGGATATATTTTTAAATTTTAATAGTAGTTATCTCTGAAAGCCAGGTTTCCAAGTTTTCTTCTTCTCATCTATATTTTCTAATTTTGGCACACTGAGAATCTTTTATCTAAAAAAAAAGAAAAATGTGGGACACCTGGGTGGCTCAGTCGGTTGGGCATCTGCCTTCGGCTCAGGTCATGATCCCAGGGTCCTGGGATCGAGTCCCACATCCAGCTCCTTGCTCGGCGGTAGCCTGCTTCTCCCTCTGCCTGCCATTCCCCCTGTTTGTGCTCTCTCTCTCTCTGACAAATAAATAAATAAAATCTTAAAAAATTAAAAAAAAAAGCTTTTCAAACTTGCACCACTGAGGAATTGCATAGGAAAGCTGAGAATGTTCTTACAAGAGTCCCCTTATCTAAGCACTTAGTATATCATATGGTGATTAGTTAGGTTTTCTGCCTCACAAGAATGTGACCTCCTACAAAACAGGAACTGAGTCTTATTCATTTCTTTTTTATTATAATGCATACTTTATTTAGTGTGTGGTATAACAGTAGGCTGAATGAATGAATGATAACCTTTATCAGGGAGCTCAAAGGCTCTCCAAGACACCTAAGATTTAGATTCTGTATAGGAAACACAGCCAAGTCACCTATGAAACACCAAAGGTCGGCCAAAGGAGCCTCTCAGTAAAGATGAATTCTATTAAACTAACTGCTCAGACCAAAAAATCCTGAAGTTTTCTTTGACTCCTCTTTCTTTCACACCTCACACCCAATCCATTGACAAATCCAACTGAACAAATCCTGTTGGTTCTACATTTAAAATGTGTTCTCACAAGCTTTCTCACCATTTCACCACTACCACCTTGGTCCAAGCAAGAAGTCATCTCCTGCCCATTTAAGGGCACTAGTCCTCTACTCAGTGTCCATGCTACCATTCTGTTGCATTTTGGTCTTCACACAGCCAAAATGACCTTCTAACAGGCAGATCCATTCATGCAACTCTATGCTCCAAACTCCCGATACATGTAGAATAAAATCCAGCGTGCTTCCCATGGCTTATAAGCCCTGCATGATCTGCTACAGATGCCCTCTTTGAATACATTCCCTTCCGTGATTTCTCACAGGGTTCCAGCCACACTGGCCACCTAGAACTTGTCAAGCACATTCCCACCTCAAGGCCTCTCCCCTCTCCACACTCATCTTTTTTCCCTCTTTGCTGGGAATCCACTTCTTTTTAAAACTGAACTTATCAAAAAGATCTCTGCTTAAAAGTCACTTTATCAAAATGGCTATCTTTAACCGCTTTATTCTAATAGCAGTCCTTCCCAACCAGCCTTCTACCCTCGCTTCCTCTAATCGGCTTTCTTTTCCGTGCACCACCTGCCATTATATTATCTATTAATTTGTCTGTTGTCTATCTCCTCCACTAGAATGCCTATTGGGGGCGCCTGGGTGGCTCAGTTGGTTAAGCGACTGCCTCTGGCTCAGGTCATGATCCTGGAGTCCCGGGATCGAGTCCCGCATCGGGCTCCCTGCTCAGCAGGGAGTCTGCTTCTCCCTCTCCCGCTCCCCCCTCTTGTGCTCTCTCTCTCTCTCAAATAAATAAATAAAATCTTAAAAAAAAAAAAAAAAAAAAATGCCTATTGGGACGAAGAGTTTGTTTTCTTCACCACTCAATTTCAGGCACTTTGAATAGTGCCTGTTATGTTGGAAGTACCGAATACTTATAAGGTAATTAGGGGAATGAATAAGTAAATACCTTTGGCAAGATATGTTTCAAGTTCTCTGTGTAAACACAGTATCGGGTCCAGTATCTGCTCTAAACGACAGAGTATTTCCTGAGGCCAACACCAGGAAGGGAAGTTGGAATGAAACAGGTGGAATAACAGCAGCATATTACTCAGTAATACTGATGTTGCTGATGATCAGGCCCAGAGTTCTGCAATCCCCAAAAGCCACCCCGACCTCTCATCCCACTACCATTTAAAACCCACATATACCTTATTGAACTTAAAGTTTTTCTAAGAATTTCTGAACATATTTAACAAACACTGTAAATTATTTCCATGAGGAAAAGTCAGTTATTTCATACTCTGACAACCTCCTTCTCATTAGCTAGTAACCAAACACTGTTTCTTAATATGTAGCCTTGTAACATGGAATAATCATCTGATTTGCTAAAGCCACTAATTATTTCTTACTGCCCTTAATTTTTCAGTAAAATGAGGCAAGGAGAGACCCTGCAAAATAAACACAGGCATTCTCAAAGCATGTGTGAAGGAAGCCTCAGGGTACCAAGGTCAGCTGTGGTCTATGTCTATGTGGTCTATGTCTATGTCTTTTTGTTAACTAAAAGTAGTTAACGTACCTAAGTTTGAGAATTAGTTATTTTAAAAAATAAACTGGACTATGGTCAGTGTCATTTTCACTTCACTTCACACTTTCACAAGTCACAAGATTCACTTCCTTTCTGATATATATTTCTTGAAAAAAAGCTAATGTGTACCAGATCAGAAATTTTGCATAACCCTACTTGATGATCCTGTCATTTAAGTAAACTGTGAATGATATTCCTCATAGTCAACCACAGGAATATCATAATTTTTCAAAACACCATGGTAAGGGTAGTAACGTTGAGAACGCAGGCTATGGAATGGAGTCAGGCCAGCCTGGGCTAGACTTCCACTTCTGCCACTTAGTTGCTTTGTGATTTTGGGTAAATTCTCTAACTTCTCTGGGTTCCATGACTCCCTATCATCCATAAAATGCAGTTAAGAAGATCTACTCTTGTAGAGATGTTATAGGGGCTGGGACAATGTATCAAGTACATCTTGTCCCAGGCAAGAATGATTAAAGAATGGGAAAGCCACATGCAGCTGATGGAACAGTGCACAAAAACAGTGGAAGGTGGGAAAGTCTGTTTGCAAACCTCTGCACACAGGCAGCCAAATAGAAAACCGTCCTCCACAAGGAGTCTATAAATTGGAGCATCTGTTAAGACACACACACACACACACACACACACACACACACACACACACACGTATCACGTGCCCTGAGAGGAAATGGCATCTTTCTTCATATCCCAATCAGTCTTAAAAATTATTTAGCCTTTACACTAGTACTAATAATCCTAACCTTACATTTGTATGTCTCATCTTCCTCACCCTAGGAGGGTGGCATCAATCCCAAATCTGACTCCCTGAGGTCTACAAGCGAAAGAGAAAAACTAAGACATTACTGAATACAACTCTAACACTTAGCAAAACTATTGTCCCCTGAAGTGTCCATATAGTAAAACAGTAAGCCCCTGCCTTATGCTTTGTCAGTAACAAGTCCTTTCTATACACTCTACAGTGGAGAACTATCGCAATAGGAAAACCGCCAGCAGAAATACTGTATGCCCTGTATGAACTTCCGCCTTCCAGAATTAGTGATGTCCCACACTGGGTCGGTCCGTCTCCACCAAGCCCAGACCCCAGAGGTGCTCTCCGCCAACAGTACATAAATGGCCTCAGCATTTCCCCGCCCCAGACCACAAGACGCAAAGGGAAAGTTAGGGCCAAACCCAGGAACACAGCCTAAAGCTTGGGGTTTGCCAAGCCGTTCCTGGGCCCCTCTCTGCACGAGGGGCATGCGGGTGCAGGTTCCGGCCGAGCGGCCGCACACAGTACCTGGATGAGGCCCCGCTGCAACAGGGCGCTGTGCACGCAACCGGGGACCCTCCCCGGCAGCTCCAGCGAGCCGTTCCCGCTGCGGATCCTCCAGCTTCCCCGCAAGCTGAGGCTGCGTCCCAAGGCAGTGGGGCCCGCTCCGCACAAGGCGAGCAGGAGAAGCAGGCGGAGGCGCATATCGAGAGCGGGTGCTACTGCCCCGGGATCGGAGGCCGCGGAAGCGCGGCTCCCTCGGAAGAAGCCGGGCTCTCGCTCTCGCCGCCCGGGCCCCGCCCCCAGGTCAGCTGAGCGGCTGGGACCGCCCTGGCCCCCGAGGCTGCGCGGGCTGGCGGTGAGCGCCGAGCTCTGGTGGCTGAGCAGAATCTGGTCCCGGGCTGGTACCTCTGCAGTCTGGGCAATTCTCAGCGCTTGTTCCTGCTGCTCCGATGTCTGAACAGGAGGCGAGAACCGTGCAGGGTAATTGGGACCCACAGATCCCTGGGCACAAAGTGGCGCGCAAAGCCTCGGGGAGCTCAAGGACAGACAATAGGATGAGGAGACACAGCTAGAGAGGCTCCTAACGGCTTCAGAGAAGGGAAACACCGAGACACTCGCCGCCTCAACTCCCCCAAATTTCCCCAGACCCTCATCCACACTGCAAGGGCCTGCCTGGCGGCAGTAACGCTCACCTCCCGCAGCTCCACAGGTGGTCTCAGAGCGTACTCCCACCCTTCAAAGAGTAGACAGTGACTAAAATTACCTCATTCGTAGAGTCATTTTGAGGGCTGAGAAAATCCGTGCACAGCGTGTAGCGTGGGGCCTGGCCCAGAGATAAACAGTTAATGTTAGTGGACTACGACCCTCTGTTTTTAAAAAGCCTCACAGAGGAGGCTTCCTGAGGTTCCAGAAATTTGCCCTAAATGCGCTGGCAAATTTAAAATCCTCTGCCGCTCAGTGAGTGTAAGTGAGACTTGAACTGGGAAGTTTCTGAACTCACAAATGTAGACAGTACACTTTTTTCAGGTTGTTATAAGCATAAAATGAATTAACATGTATAGCTGTTCCTAACAACGCAGGGGTACCCAAGGAATAGCACAGGCTTATTTCAGGTTTCATTGTCACGTGGTCTACTTAAGTCCCATTTTGCAATAGGGTGTAACAGTGATCCTAGGAAGGTGACACGGAATTTTACATTACATAAAATAGATTTATTTCTGTGCCGATGTTATCTCCCTTGTTTCCATATTTAGGAGGAAGCCTTTGAAGAGTTCTCCCTTCATCAAATCTGAGCTTTATTTTGGCTATTTATAATGACCCTGGAATTGCCTGAATCTGTAGACACAGGGCAGTATTTTACTTTTACAGAGTCACTATTTTTCATAAGCCTAGCATCTTGGCTTTAGGGATATTATGGATTATCTAGTCCAAGCCTCTGGTTTTACAGCTGAGGGAACAGAGTCCAAAGCGGTCAGGTGACTTGCCTGTCATACAGTGGCAGGCAGGACCAAAATTCTCCAATTCTGGCTTAGTCTCCTTGTAGCAGAGCCTATTGATATTGAGAAGGCTCTGGCTGGCTCAAAGCCTTCCTCACTTCAGCGGCGTTCTTTTGATAGGAATAAAGCTCTCAATTAAAATAATATGCCATAACTCAGTGCATTAAATAGCCAGCCCTGGTCTGTTTAAAACTGTTTAAAACAAGACATAACAGCAAGAGTAGTAAAGGAATTTTTTCATAAATCTCAGAGATTCCATTAAGCCAGGTCAAAGGAAAACTCATCCCAGCAAGTATGTTTCAATATATTCTGTTGTTCTGTTAGGAAATAGTTTAATGTGGCTCCTGAGTGGCTCAGTCAGTTAAGTGTCTGCCTTCAGCTCAGGTCATGATCTCAGGTTCTGGGCTCAAGCCCCAAATCAGGCTTCTCTGCTCAGCGGGAAGCCTGCTTCTCCCTCTCCCCAACCCCCCACCCCGCCCCTGCTGGGTGCACGTGCTCACTCTCTCTTAAATAAATAAATAAATAAATAAAATCTTTAAAAAAGAAAAAAATAGTTTAAGGAATCTATTTTAAGAAAAAAATAAGAATACACATTTATCATTTCTCTTTTCATTCCAGGACACAAACATGGCATGACTTGGATTGCTTCACCTTGAAATCAGAGAGCTTTGAGAAAATCAAACCCCTAATAAGTATTCTGCCTAAAGTTTGGATTGGCACAGGTAATATGATGAATTTTCATTTTGTTATAGGATAATTTTTTGTCCATTATTTCCAGGAAGAATAAATCTTATTTTTAGCCACAAAAATTGTTAACTTAAGTAACTTAAAGCCACAATATGAAACACAATTTTAAAAAATAGTCACAAGTCCTTACACTGTATAAATGGATTCTATTTTATCATCTCATTTGATGCTTTCTAAGATTCAAATTGTTTAGATCAAATGATAGTTTCCTGGTTTAAAAAGACAAGGCTTATAGAAGTTAAATGATATGCAGGGTCAGCATCCTGCTACAGAAGACCAATGAGGGCTTTTTGGCTCACATGGCAATGCTTCCATCATCTCTAAATATATGAAGTTGGTAAACTCATTAGATTAGAACACCAAGGTATACCAAGGCCAAAGATGTTCCAATCCCATGAGATAATTACATAAATTATAATGAGGGGAAGAAAAATGACTCAGAGTGTCTGCTTAATCCCCAAAGCCAGGGATAGTAGGCCAGAAGTATCTCCCTAGAAAGTTATACAAAGAACTCTTAAACTCAACAGTAAGTTCACAAATAACCTGGCTAAAAAATGGACCAGAGACCTTAGCAGACAAGTCACCTAAGAAGATATACAGATGGCAAATAAACATATGAAAAGATGTTCCACATCATATATCATCAAGGAAATGCAAATTAAAACAACAATGAGATACCCCTACACACCTATTAGAATGACCAAAATCCAAAACACTGACAACACCAAATGTTGACAAGAATGTGGAGAAACAGGAACTCTCATTCATTGTTGATGTGAATACAGAATGGTAAAACCACTTTGGAAGATACTTTGGTGGTTTGTTACAGAATTAAATATGCACTTACCTTATGATCCAGCAATCACAATGCTTGATATTTACCCAAAGGAGTTGAAAACTTCTGTCCATACAAAAATATACGGGGGCATATGGGTGACTCAGTCAGTTAAGCATCTGACTCTTGATTTCAGCTCAGGTCATGATCTCAATGAGATCAAGGCCGGGCATGGAGCCTGCTTAAGATTCTCGCTCCCTCTGCCCCTCCCCCCCAACTCGTGTGTGCATGCATGCATGCATGCATGCTTGCTTTCTCTGTAAAAAAAATTTTTTTTTAAATGCATGTGGATGTCTATAGTAGTTTTATTTGTAACTGTTAAAACCTGGAAGCAACCAAGATGTCCTTCAGTTCGTGAATGGATAAATAAACTGTGGTATGTCTGAACAATGGAATATTATTCAGTGCTAAAAAGAAATGAACTATGAGCACTGGGTGTTATATGTAACTAATGAATCATTGAACACTACATCAAAAACTAATGATGTGCTGGGGCACCTGGGTGGCTCAGTCGTTAAGCCTCTGCCTTCAGCTCAGGTCATGATCCCGGGGTCCTGGGATCAAGCCCCTCATCGGGCTCCCTGCTCTGCGGGAAGCCTGCTTCTCCCTCTCCCACTCCCCCTGCCTGTGTTCCCTCTCTCACTGTGTCTCTCTCTGTCAAATAAATAAATAAAATCTTTAAAAAAAAAATAGGCCGTCTATATGTTGGCTAACTGAACATTAAAAAAAGAAAATAAATTTGAAGAAAAGTGAGTCAAAAAAATCTTATGACCAATAAAGATATCATATAACAGTGCATTACTATGTATTATATATAAAATTTTGACACAAAAATGGTGTTTGTTATTTTGATTGCATTTCAAAACTAATAAATTAATCTTGAAAAACAAAACAAAAAAAAGAAATGAACTATCAAGCTGTGAAAAACAGGGAGGAAACTTACATGCATATTACAAAGTAGAAGAAGCCAATCTGAAAAGGCTATATAAAATATGACTTCAACTATATGACACTCTGGAAAAAGTAAAACTATGGAGACAGTAAAAAAGATGAGAAGTAAAAAGATGCCAGGGGTTAGGGAGGGATGAATATATGGAGCACGGAGGACTTTTAGGGCAGTGAAACTACTCTGTATAACCATAATAGTGGATATATATCGCTATACTTTTGTCAAAACCCATAGAATGTACAACACCGTGAGTGAAGTGCAATGTCAACTATAGACTTTGGGTGATAACGTAGGTTCATCAGTGGTAACAAATATACAGTTGTAGTGGGGGATATGATAACAGGGAAGGCTGTGTATGTATGGGAGCAGGGAATGTATGGGAAATCTCTGTATTTTTCATTCAATTATGCTGTTAACTTAAAATTGCTCTAAAAATAGTCTATTAAAATATATATTTCTAGAAATTCCATGGGTCAAAGAAATAAGACTTCCTGTGACTTGTCATGTAAAGATCTTGGAAGTCATCACTGCATCCTAAAAATAAGTAAAAAGCTGAACTGAAAATCACTAACTCTTCTTAGATCCATCAGAGAATTCAGGTGACAGCAAACCACTACCCCCAAAACTGGAGAGATAGGTGGATACAGAGAATCACAGCTTACCAAAGCAGAAACCCATGAGCAGAAAGCTCCTCAGGAACAGGTAGTAGGGTAGGAAAACCTAAACTATAAATGGTGAATTGCTGGAAGTTGAGAGTTAAGAACTCTTATCAGGGCCCAGTCTTAGGGGGTTACCCATGCTTTTGTGAGTTCTGCTTTATGGAGCTTAACCAAGTTCTCACACTGAAGATTAGAGAACAATTCCCTGATACTTCAGCAGGGGGAGGGGAAAAGGAACCATTTTGAAATACATCAGACGATTCTGTTCTTCTTTTTTTTTTTTTTTTTTTAAAGATTTTATTTATTTATTTGAGACAGAGAGAATGAGAGACAGAGAGCATGAGAGGGAGGAGGGTCAGAGGGAGAAGCAGACTCCCTGCCGAGCAGGGAGCCTGATGCGGGACTCGATCCCGGGACTCCAGGATCATGACCTGAGCCGAAGGCAGTCGCCTAACCAACTGAGCCACCCAGGCGCCCCAATTCTGTTCTTCTTAACAGGACCTGTCATCAAGAGAAACTATTTAACCAAAGCCTAACTAAACCTTTGGGATTGTATCAGGGTCTAACCAACCTAGAAGAA